TTTTACTATAACAAAACTTTTTTTTTTAATGAACTGAACTTGGTTAATTAGTTGTTATTTTTAATAGACCGGAACAAAAGAAGTAAACATTGTTTGAGTTTGAGTTGGTATTAAACCAAAACGAAAATCTCTATTATTATGTCAATGAGATTTTTTTTAATTGGTAAAAAGTGAATTTTTTAAATTCGATTCTTGTTATTAGTAATTTACTTTGATAAATAATTTATAAATTCAATATAAGTTTTCACTTAAATTTACGATATATTTTGACATTGAAATGAAATAATTTCTTTTAAACTAATTTTGTTATTTTAAAATAAAAATTGAATATTATAAAATTTAAAAAATAAATAATTTTAGAACGTAACTCAAATGCAATCATCTTTAAAATGTGACATATAACAAGTCTAATATTTGAATATCATTATTTGCTCTATGACCTCCTTATAAAAAAAAAGGTAACTAAACACATTAACAAATAATACAAATGTCCTCAAAACTATGTATGTTTGGAGTTATTAAATTTTGATATTTCAATTTAGAGATATTAGAATATTGAATTAAATTATATAATCATAGGAGATATAAAAAAAAAAAAGTTAATGTTATGAAAGGTTTTTAAATTATAATAAAATATTTAATATAATGTTTAAACTTTAAAAATCTTAATATGATACTTGAAATATGAATATCTTAATTAATATAATATTTAAAATATTGTTTATCCGTCACGTATTCTCATTTGAAACTAACTATATTAAATGTGAGTATGCCATTAGTTAACAAATTTATAATTTAAATATTATATTAAAAAAATTTAAAAATTAAGTATTACATGGAATCATTTACTATAATTTAAGTCTCATATTAATAAAAAAAAATACTTTTTTATTATATAATTAAAGATCTAATCTCTCTCTACATATAAAATAAATATGAAAACTATTTTTTATTTACGTTTATTAACTCAAAGGCTTAATAATTTAAAATATGATACGATGATACGAACAAAATTTAAAAATAAAACACAAAAATGATATAATTTAAAATTATAATAATTATTATATATATGTTTAATAAAATTAAAAAATATATTTTTTTTTATTTTTATATCAATACAAATTAAAACATATACTTTTTATATAAAATATAATATAAATATATAAATTATCAAATCTACTAATAACTTATTTCGTTCTTAGGCCCTTGGTGTGGAGTGATTAGGACTTTTTGTTTTTTGTTTTTTCTCAATCACACCGCGTGACATGTTTGGATAACATAAGTTACGGTACGTTTGGGTGTCTGGCCCACACCGAAACATAAGTTGGGCATTGAAACTCGAAGGGTCCATGGAACAACCGTAGTCATAATTGGACTCTGTTACTCTCAATTTTATTTCATTTCTATTATGTCCCTGACAATAAAAATATTATTAGATATAAAAATAAATGTATTAATTTTTAATTTATTAATAAAAATATTATTTGATATAAAATAATTTAAATAATTTTTAAAATATCAAATATAAATTATAAATATAATATTTTAATAATATTTTTTATTCATATTATATTTTAATATTACCATTATATTTATATTTAAATATATATATCATATAATTAACTTTAATTTTATCGAAATCAATATCATCGATTTCTTTTAAAAAATTAACTTATATTTTTAGCTATTCAAAATCTCCAATGATATATATATATATATATATATAAATACATTATTATTGATCTATAGATTCAAACTATTTGGAATGTCGGCATCTTGAGCTGTAGCTTCCACATTCTTCTTCAATGGTTGTCATAATCATCGCAGGCTGGATCCGAAAAAGGTCCCTTTTGCCCCTTTTAACCCTTTTGTTCCTATAAACCATCATGAAAGTGATCCATCATCTATAGTTCCGCACTCCTGCAAGAAAAAGCAAGTAAATCTTAACCATTGCAGCCAGTTTTTTTACGCCAAAAATTAAACTAGGCAACACTATGGCTTTCTTTTACCTTATTTACTTGATTTTTTAATTTTATTCATGCTTTTTTTTCCTGAGTATATAGTGCATTTTATTTTAATTAAATAATTTTATTATTTTAATATAATAATTAAATTTTATTAATTTAATATGTTTAAACATTAAATATAAAAATTATAATATTCAAACTTTAAATAAATTTATTATATTAAATTATTAATCTAATATTCTTAATGATAACTTTTTTTCTTATAACAATTAATCTCATCATCATAATTATTTTTACATTCAAATATATATTTCACTATTAATTTTAATTTTATCACTATAATTATTAATTTAATTATTATTATTATTTTTAATCTCATAAAAATTAATTTTAAAATTTTTATATTCCACCGATACCCTGTCATATTTACTTTACCGTATATTCATTTCTCCCCAAGAATTTAAAACCATACATTCCACTGCAGATGAAACGAATTTACTAAATCTTTCTGCAGCTGCAAAACCAAATCATTGAGCGTGGGACCTTTAGCTAATCTGCTTTGACCAGGTGCTTTCAAACAATTTGAAAAGTTACCGTTACGTCTTTATCATGATTACATTATTGTACTCTCTGAAGTAAAATCTATTTGGATTTCTATTTAAAAGTTTCTGGTAAAAAATATAAAGTAGGTTCGAAAGCTAGCAGCTGGAAACAAGCTGTGCTAACGTGGGATTGTGTAGGTCACGTGTTGCATGTGATTTTCAAAGTGTTGAAAACTACTTCGCATTTAAAACCTCCATTGCTCGGACGGGTAATGCTTGAAAAGGGGTTGTTTCTTCAATTCTGCTGCCCTTGTTGTAGGGTTAGATCGTGGTTGGACCAAAGAATTGCTCCCATTTGATTAATTTGGTTTTTTTTTTTTTTCCAACGTTAACACTGTTAAGGATGAGGGATGGATTTTAGTTGGGGCTATTGATTGAAGTAATGGAAATCATAACTCGAGGACAACTTTTGTCCCCAAAGTTGTTATCATAACCAAAAGGCTTTTCAAAATAAAAATTGACAGAGTAACTAAAAAAACTTAAATTCAAATGTTAAAAGGAAACAAAAGCTATTTAATAATTTTAGGATTAAATATAATCCTAGTGCATCAAAAGTTTCTCTCATCGAATTGTCAAATAAATTTTTAATTAATTTATGGCAAATGATTTCATTTAACGAAATTGTTATGCTCATTTGGCTTTTCTTGAAGGATTGAGATTAAGGATATTAATTTTATTTTTATTTAATTGAAAATTAAAAATTTTATTTTAATAAGATGATGATGAGTATTATATTATGAATATAAAAATAAATAATAAAAATAAATAATATAACACTTATCTCGTACCCATATCTTCTATATATTTATATATATTTAATATATAGATTTTTTATTAAATAATATAAATTATTATTATAGAGTAACTAAAATTAATATGTTTTTATTAAAAAAATATATTAATATATATTTATAAAAATGATCTAAATATACAAGTTAAAAATAAAATAAACTAAAAAATATTTTAATTTTAGTTATTTTTAAAAGCTATGGGTACGAGAATTAACTTATTAAATACCCATAAAGATGAAAATATAAATAAATTTAAAATATCGTAAGAAATAGGTATGATATAAAATTTTGGAGACGAAGGTGATGATACTTTACCCTACTTATACCTAACTCATTGACATCTCTAAGTGAGACTAATAATTTGGGTTGAACGGCGACGTTTACATTAAGTACTAAAAACATGAAGAAAATTTGGTTCTATCCAACCAATACAGCGTTATGTAAAATAATAATAATAATAATGATAATAATAAAGGGGACAAAAACTATAACGGGAAATTGAAGCTATTAAAAATAAAATCAAAGGGGAGCAACTTTTTATTTAACTACGATGATTAAATCAATTCATTTGATTTTGATGCAAATTTGAGTGATTATTATATTATTTCTGATGCAATTATTCGTACTTCTGCGGTTATAGGTTTTGCATTTTAAGCAAACAATTTAAGTACTAAATAGTAAGAACAAAGAACCATTAATAAACCAACTAATGTTACAATTAAAATTGTACATGAATTGAGTTGTTCATCAAATCTACGAGTATAACTTGACTCAAGATACTAGGTATTTTTTAAGTTTAGGTTCGATCCAATAAATATAGGATTGACATCGGGTCGAATTTGGAGAAAGTTTTGTTCGTTTCGAATCCGATCCGATTTGAAATTAATAAAATATTATTTTTAAAATATAAATATTTAAAAATAATATTATATATATAAATAAAAATTAAATAATTAATTTAAAATAAATTTTTTTATAATATCGGGTCGGGTCGGATTTGTCTAAAATCCGAACCCGACCCGACTCGAAACTCAAATTTAAAAAAAAAATAAAAATTCAATTTCATAGGGTCAGGTCGAAACCCGTCGGAGACGGGTTGGATTGACGATCTTAAATAAATATAAATAATAAATCATTATTTTTATTTAATTTGAATTCTAAAATATATAAAAATATTAACATAAAAAATATGTTTAATATTAATGATAAAAATAAATTAAATGGATAAACTAGATCAATCGAATCCAGATTTAAGCTTTAAGTTTTGGAAATATTAACCAAGCTCGGTCCATCAATAATCTTGATATTTGATGGGGGTATACAAAGTAAAATCAATAAGGGTTTTGGATCAGATCTTGGGCCTAGCTGGTACGACCCAAACAAGCATACTGCCCCTTGCACAAGAAAACTCCCACTTTCATTTATTAAAAATAAAAACTCCTTTTCGTATATGTCTATCGCTGCATCTCACTCCGTTTCTCTTTTCTCATCGTCGATCTTCTGCAATCTGATTGAATTGAAAAGGTATTCTTCTCGAATCCCATTTTTTCGTTTATTTTTTGGGAAAAATTACTGTAAAAGTATGGAATTTCCTAATTCAATATCTCTGTTTTGTAGATTTTTTAAAAAAAGTACCAAGCATGAAGCTTGATACCAGCGGTCTAGAATCGGCTGCGCCGGTCTGGGGTGCTCCTAGTGAGCTTGTTGGTGGGTTTTCGGCTGCTCCGTCGTTCGAGCTTCCAAATACCACTGATGTGAGTTAAGATCTTGTGCCATTTAGTAGTAGTATTGTTTTTCTGATAGAAGAGGAAGGGAGCTTTGCGGATTATTTTATGTTTGGTTGTCGTATTGCAGTTTGATGTGTTTCAGAAGGAAGCTGTTAAGATGGTGAAACCTGCTAAGGGTACCACCACGCTTGCCTTCATTTTTAAGGAAGGCGTCATGGTTGCTGCTGATTCTAGAGCTAGCATGGGAGGCTATATCTGTATGTGTTATTTTATTTTATTTTATTTTGTTATGTCTGTTTGCAAGAATTATTAAATTGAATTGCATAGTGAAATTATTTTTTTAATCAGAAATTTCTTTGTAGGGAAATAATTTGTTTATCATCATGCTAAATTAAAACCTTGAACTTGAATCAATTTCTAAAAGTTTTTCATTCTTCTGTGCCTTTTTGTTGTTTTTGGATGGTAATGATGAAACTGCTATATCATTTCTTTTTCTAAATGTTGGCAGCATCACAGTCGGTGAAGAAAATTATTGAAATCAATCCATACATGCTTGGTACAATGGCTGGTGGAGCTGCTGACTGCCAGTTTTGGCACAGAAATTTAGGCATCAAGGTAGTGAAATAAAAAATTTACCTCTTTTCAGTGGGCTACCATCTGGGTCCTTTTTTTTTTTTTTTGCCTTAGATTTGTGTTCTTTGCTGTATACCGTATGTGTTTGCACATTGCTTGTTATGTAAGGAATTGTAAAGAAATAGTAGTCTATTGGTGCCTTTTATGCATAATGGGTCATTTTAGCAATCTTTCTTTGCATTTTTCATTGATACTCGTGTATTGTAGTTTTTCTAAAACATTGAAAGTGAGAGTACGCTAGCATCTCAAAGGTTTCAGTTTTTTTGTTTTCATTGGCTCTAAAATCAAAGTACAGATGCCCTGACTTCCCTAAAACTCATGTATGTGAACAAAAGCAGATAAAAAGATTTGAGATTTAGCATAGCCTAGTAATGGCTAAGTGGCAACATCCCTTTCAAATGTGACTTACACACAGAGATTAACCCTTTTGAGTTCTAACTAAACAAGGCTTTATGCATGATCTCAATGACTCTTACTGTATGAATATGCACTTATGCACTCAAAGCCTAAGTAGATTTCTAATATTAAGTCTTTTTTCTTGTTACTGAAACAAACTTTCAAGGAGGAAGTTTGTGAAAATGAGTTGAGGCATAGTTCCTGATTTTTTAGGCGGTTGAATGTAATGCATTCTATTTGCCTAATTGCCTAGCTATTGAATTAGAAAAGAGTCAAAAGAAGGTGTGCCCTCAGGTTTCTGATGTGTGCTTTTCCTTTTGTGACAATGGTATGACAACACAATGCAACCTTCCTGGCTTTTATTTAGTTTAAAAAACTCTTAGGCCCCGTGATTGTGATTGTTTTTTGCCAATTTCTGTTACACATTGAAAGTGCTAATGGATAACCATTTGCCATGATTTAGTGCCGGCTGCATGAATTGGCAAACAAGCGTAGAATTTCTGTTACAGGGGCATCAAAACTGTTGGCAAACATTCTCTATTCTTACCGAGGAATGGGACTATCAGTTGGAACCATGATTGCTGGATGGGATGAAACGGTATTTGAAACTAAATTTTACTCTCTTTTCCCTGCTTCCTTTCCCTTTTTCCTCTTGCTTCTATGCATATGCCTGCATGTTTTAAAATGCTGCCTAATGTGGATTCTAGGGTCCTGGACTATACTATGTGGACAGTGAAGGGGGAAGGTTAAAGGGAATGCGTTTCTCTGTTGGATCTGGTTCACCTTATGCTTATGGTGTGCTGGATAATGGGTATGCATTTTTCTCCTTGTTTTTTGATAGCCATTTGTTCCCATTGATAAATTCAAATACTATGACGTAAAAGTTGTCATGGTCTCCTCCTAAAGTTAGATATAAGAATAAGTTCGTTAAGAAACAAACAAGCTAATGGAAGAGGAACATGTGGAAGAAACCTGTTAAATGCTTTACACCTGTGTTCTGGCTCCATTTACTTCCAATTGCTCCTTTTGAAAACATTGCGGTCTAATAATAAGGATATTTTGCTACCTAATCAAAGCTTTGACCATAATATTGGACTGCCTTGTTTGAATCTTTTTTATTGGCATGGTCAACAATAACACGGTTGTTCCTGTCATTAATTCTAAAAATGTGTGTTAGACTTAAACTTGCTTGGCTCCTGGCTAGTAAATCAAAAGATTTTCTCATGTTCCATGCTCACTTTATTAAATTATGCTTGACATTTATACTTTTGTCTCATATTGTGCACTCTGTATTCATAGTCATTAATTTCTATTTTTGGGTGACATTGGTACTAGCTATCGGTATGATATGTCCATTGAAGAAGCGGCAGAGTTGGCCAGAAGAGCTATTTATCATGCCACATTCCGAGATGGAGCCAGTGGTGGTGTTGCCAGCGGTACTGTCTCTTTCTCAACTCTAGAACAAAAGTTACATCTGATTATGTTTTATGTGTGTATCCTACTTTTAATGGGCTGAATTTTTAATCAGTTTATTACGTGGGACCAAATGGCTGGAAGAAGCTATCTGGTGATGATGTTGGAGAACTTCACTACAAATACTATCCAGTGATACCAAGCACGGTTGAACAAGAAATGGTTGAAGTAGCTGGAGCCTAAGAGGGTTCTACTCAACCTAGACCAAGTTGAAGATGTTTGCATTCATCGATCGGCCAATGGGATAGAATCTGATACTGAAACATTGTTTCCTCTACTTATATTGGGATTAGCCTTAAAAGACAATTCACTGATAGACCTGGGTGCAACTTTATGCTGTAAGAATCCTTCAAATTCAGTTATCTCGATCAGTTTGTCATTGTTGAAGTTGAAAAACTTTAATGAATTACTCTGCCTTCATCTAGGGTCTGGCTTTTGTAAATTACTACACAAGTCATATGGCTAGGAAATGGGGTAAGTGGCGTTTCCACTTTCCACTAAAAGTGTCCTTCAAAATGTCGAATGAGGAGGAATGCATGTGCTTGGTTTTCAGCTTGGTAAGAGCTGATCTTCTAAGCAAACCTGTAATCCATTAGCGGACTGTGGAGTCGAGTGATGAAAGCATTGTTTCATGAACATTGGGATTGTTATGGTGATGAAGGTGGATTTTGGCAGGTGACCCATATTTAGCCCATTTGCATAGTTGAACTGGAGAATAGATTTTTTTTGTAGGTGGGAAAAACGGACAATGATGGGCTTCCTTACCCGTTGGTTGGTCCAACGTTTCTGAACAGTTAAATCAACAATCAAATAGACAATGATCCCATATTTTAGCCCATCTACCTAGTCCAGCGTTACTTCCTTTATCACGTTATAGCCCATCCCATATTATAGCTCATTCATTCAGCCGTCCCGATTTAAATTCTAATATTTAAATTTAAATTAAGTTAGATAATGATAGTTTATTAATGAACATAGAAAAGTGATTAAATTTTTAAAAATAAATATTAGTAAAATTCATGATAACTTTACTCATAATTATTTTTAAGGGTTTGATTACTTTTTATTTTATTTATTAATGAAATATCACTATATAATTAATTAATAACGGACACGTTTATATATTGTTAATGCATCAAACATTAATATTTGATCCAATGACGGTATATAAGTGATTTTTTTACTTTTATGTTGCGATTTTTTTGTTAAAAAAAATAAAAATTTGATATTTGTAGCACATGGGTCCATGTGCTCATGGTAAAAGTTAAATAAATAAAACTGATGAGGAAAAATAAAAATAAAAATAAAAATCTAACCAATTCTTACATCCCTTTGGCACTAAGCGAACACTTCCTTTTTCCCTTCCACCTCCTCTCATTTTTCTCAATACGAACAAACAACTTTTTGTAATTATTCCCATCGGGAGTAGCATATGAATATGATGGTATGTATTATAGGGAATTTTTTATTGGAGTATGAGTTAATTTTTCTTTTTTTCTTTTATCCTTTCACAGATGTAATGTATGGAGAGCTGATAGAATATTAGGAAATCATTGTTTAATCGTAGCATATTATCAATTTCTACTGTTATGGACAGTGGCAGATCTAAAATTTCTTTCAAAATGTTCATTTATAATATATAAATAAATAAATAAAATAAATTTATTAATTTTTTATCAATAAAAAAGATGTTAAATTTTTTTTTTTATTTTTAAAATTTGAAATTATTTATAGACACCTTACCATCCCATTTGAATCCATCTCTGATTATGGAACAAAAGAAATGAAATATAAAATGACCAAACAATATTAATGCCTGCCTGAATAAACCTATCCCCTTCCTCATTCCTCTCTCTCTCTCTCTTATCCTTTTGTTAGCTTCTAAGCATGTTTTCATGATTGAAAGTGAGATCTAATCATCACCATTCACCAAATTCCCCACTAAACAATGCCAGAAAAATAGTTGGAAACTTTGAATCCATAAACAAAAACAACAAAAATGAAAGCAAGAGTTCAATGTCTCTGTCCACGCTGGAGAACAAGGATTTACAGCAGTCTGTCAGTAACAAAATGATATAATTATGAGTGTGATTAAGTGGGTTTGTTGCTCGAAAGAGATGGACTTTAATAGACAAATTCTGCCTACCATCACTACCCACAACTATTTCTTCCATTGTTGAAAATTAAAGCAATAGAGCTGAAGATTAATAATGATAATAATAATAACAAGGTACGGCATTGAAGTTAAGGGATTTTGCATGACTTTTTATACTGTCTTTCTCATTAAATACTTGACATAGTTAATAAGCTAAAATTAAAGCTTGCTTTGCCTCTAAAAAAGCAAAAAAGAAACAACACCAACTGGAAAACTTCTATCTTTTTCATGATTATTCAAGTAGATATATACATTTCCGAAATCTTAATAACATGACATAATCAAAATATTTGATCTCTTTGAACCATTAAATAAAAAAAATACTTGCTCTCTGAAAATTGTCAGTTGCAGGAATTTTTATTGATATGACAGGTCATCAACAGTCTTTTAAGTTGGTGGTGAGTCATGAATTTATGGGTTAAGGGCAAATTCTGTCCCATGCTGCCATTGTAGGTCCCCTTCCAAAAATTGTTTTCTTGGCCTCCTCATTTGAGCTTTCCCTGACCTTAATCTGGCCACTTGCTCTTTAGCCCTTAGGCCTTGCTTTGTGGTTTGTGGTAAAAATTCTAGATTTGAGATGTACCTTTCTACTTCTACATTGGGAAAAAAATAGTTTAAACCCAATCAAGCGAATGTTTTTCAGAGTTTAAGCACTTCGCTGAACTCCAAAAGGAAGGGAAAGTTTTTCAGAGTTTCCAAACTACAAAGGCAAACTTCTAAATAATAAGACATAAAAAACAATCACCATTGATGCCCACAAATTATTGTTTTTTTTCCTTTTCCATTTTCACTTGTTTGTTTGCTTTCCTGCCTTCAACTTGCTTATCTTCTACTCCATCACCTCAGCCTCAACTCAGCAGTCGATTCCTTTCACTCTCTTTTTGGCGGCAGGTTGGGTCCCATCCCAATCAAAAAATCTCGTCTGTCTCACTCTCTTTGTCATAAATGCCCATTCTCAACCCAACGTCCCTACTCCTTTCTCTTCATTGTAAGAACAAAAAGAAAAAAAAAACAACAAACAAATCCTTTGTCATTTCTAAGCTCTTCCTTCTCCTCTTTAAAACCCACATTTTTAATATTCACTAAAAGAAAGAAAGAGGCTTCTCTTTTATTGATCATGAAGAAGCTGGCTCTCTTTGTACTCTTCTTCCTCTTCGGGAACTTGAAACCTGCCCTTTCTCTTTCCCCTGAGGGCCTTTCTCTTCTCTCTTTGAAATCCGCTGTCGACCAACCTGCAGGCCAGTCAGCGTTCGCCGATTGGAACGAGAATGACACGACGCCGTGCAATTGGTCCGGCATTTCCTGCATGAACATAACAGGGTTCGCGGACCCACGTGTTGTAGGGATCGCAGTTTCAGGGAAGAATCTCCGGGGGTATATTCCGTCAGAGCTTGGAACATTAACCTATCTCCGAAGGTTAAATCTTCACCGCAACAACTTTTATGGTTCCATACCGGACCAACTTTTCAATGCCTCATCGCTTCATAGCTTGTTTTTGTACGGTAACAACCTGTCTGGTTCTCTGCCTCCCTCGATCTGCAATCCAAGGTTACAAATCCTCGATCTCTCCAACAATTCACTGTCAGGTACTCTGCCTGAGAATCTTAAGAAATGCAAGCCATTGCAGAGGTTGATTCTAGCTCAAAACAAGTTTTCAGGTGAAATTCCTGATGGAATTTGGCCGGAATTGAACAACTTGGTTCAACTCGATCTTTCGTCCAATGAATTCAACGGAACGATTCCTAGTAGCATCGGAGAGTTAAATTCGTTGTCAGGTACTCTCAATTTATCTGACAATAACTTGTCTGGTAAGCTTCCGAAAAGCTTAGGTGACTTGCCTGTTGCTGTTAGTTTTGATCTTAGAAACAACAATTTAAGTGGGAAAATACCTGAAACGGGGTCGTTTGCAAATCAAGGACCAACAGCATTTCTACACAATCCTCTTTTATGTGGATTTCCTCTGCAAAAATCCTGTAAAAATTCCAATATAAGTCCTTCAGGAAGTCAAAATTCGGGTCCTAATGCTGGTGAAAGGCAGAAAAAAAGGTTCAGTGCTGGATTAATTATATTAATCCCAGCGGCTGATGCTGCTGGTGTAGCTTTGGTAGGATTGATTATAGTTTATATTTATTGGAAAAAGAAAGGTTCTTCAAATAAATGTAGCTGCACTGGAAAAGGCAAGTTTGGTCATAATGACGAAGGGAAGCTCTGTTCTCTCTGTTCATGTGCGTGCATCAACGGGTTTCGAAACGAAGACTCCGAATTCGAAGACCTTGAAAAGGGGGAGATATCAAGCAAAGGAGAAGGAGGGCTTGTTGCCATTGATAAAGGCTTCAGCTTTGACCTGGACGAGCTGCTAAAAGCCTCAGCTTATGTGTTGGGAAAGAGTGGGCTTGGGATAGTGTACAAAGTGGTGCTTGGAAATGGGGTGCCGATAGCTGTACGGAGATTAGGCGAGGGTGGAGAGCAGAGATACAAGGAGTTTGCGGCTGAAGTCCAAGCTATTGGGAAGGTTAAGCATCCCAATATTGTGAAGTTGAGAGCATACTATTGGGCCCCTGATGAGAAGCTTCTCATCAGTGATTTTATCTCGAACGGCAATTTGGCCAATGCCATGAGAGGTTAGTTTCTTTCTCCTGTTTTCTTCCCCTCTTTTTGAAAGCAACATTACTGATTCCTGCTTGGATTATTCTAGCAAGCAATTGACCTTTATGACACACACAGGGACTCATTAGGCCTGACAATGCTGTCCCTTTACATTATAATTGTACTCTGGAAATGCCAAAACTTTTCTTAGGTCTTCACTTTTCCGTAGTCATTTGTTGCTCATACGAAAAAGAAACAAAAGAAATACCCAAAGAGGATGAAAGTTTTGATCCTAAAGTTATGGTTTAGTACAAAATTTAGTGGTAAATTACAGTAGAATTTCTAGTTGTTTTCGCTACTGCCTTGTTTGCCTGAAAGAGAAAAAATTGCTAGTTACTGTGGGGTAGAGGATATTTTTTTTTTTTTGGGTATAAAGAAGGTGCTTAGGATCATGGGTGAGAAAAAAATCGAAAAATTCAAAAATCGATTTGAAATGTAGTGTTCGGTTTAGTTTGAATCGATTTTTTTTATTCGGATATTAAATATATATATTAGATTCAAATTAAATTTTAGATTAGAAAGTGAAAATTTGAAAAAAAATTGTACTGAACCAAATTATATATATATTTTAGTTTTTTTATATATTTTAAATTTTTATAAAATAAAAATAATAATTTTATATCAAAATCTACTTAAATATATTAAAATTTTATATAAAAATTAAAAAATTAAAAACCAATAAATTGATTTAGATCGAATGAAGATTCGGTTTGAATTTGGATTATATTTTAAATTTTCATAACATTAAACAATATCCAAAAAAATTAAATTGAATTTGAATTGAACCGAGCTATTATTTAAATTTGCAAAACATCATTTTTTTTAATTGATTATACAAATCAATTGATCTAAATTTTAAAATTGGATAAGTGGCTTGTAGTATCTTATGTAGTGGGTTGATTCTATTACTTGTAAATGAGTGCTACGAAATGTTAGGTCCCTTACCTTTGGTCATGCATCTTATGATAAAATGAAAAGAAAAGAAAAAGAGCATTGACAGGTAATGTATAGGAAATCGTTTTGGCTTTGAGAATTTCAAATCACAAGGGGATGGGTCACAACTCAAGAAGATGACTCACGTGATCTTAGTTTGGATTTAGGGTTTTAATAATCGAAATAAATGCTGCAGCCTTCCCTTGCATGCTTTAGCTCTTCACCATTTAATATATTTATTTTTTTTATCTTTGGGATGGGGACAGATGATAGTGAGGTTAGAGCTCTTATTTTTATTATGTCTTTTTTAAATTTTTTAATCATTAGAAGACAATATATTTATCATTGAGTTTTGACTTTGAGCATCTATTGGTTTTGCCTTTGTAGATCAAAAAAGATTTATATAGATTTTTTTTAGATGAAATTTGGTAAATTTTTATTAAAATTAAATATTAAAATTTATAAATTGATAAAATTGAATGAAAAAATTAATAATGTGTAAAAAAATATTAAAAAATTATTTATTATTTATAATTTAAATTTATGATTATATATTTAACAGTGAAAATTTTATTAAAATTTTTATTAAAAATATTTATCTAAAACATATATAAGATTTTATAATTTTTTTTAAAAAATTTATACACTTGAACTATATATTAAAAACTTTCAATCTATCATTTTTAATTTTAATTTTAATTTTTATTAAATATTTTAACAAAAAATTTCACAAACTTCACTTTAAAAACTTTACTTTTAAGTCTTTCCCTGCATTCAACTTCATGTTCATTTTCTCCTTTCTTTCTTTATCCCAAAAACAAAAAAAAAAAAAGGTGCCTGGCTTTCTTCCACATGAAGGTCCACTGTTTTGTTCTGTAAAAATCCTCTTGGTGGGACCTGTTGGTCTTCTTTTACCGCGCTCTTGTCTCCATTCGTTGCTCACACGATGCATCAAGTCTTTGACTACTAAAGTGGAAGATTGTGAAGAAATGGTTTAGCACTCTGTTTTGGCTGAAAGGCCAAAACACAGCCATTGTTAGTCACTTCTGAAAATACAGTACTCGTACTAAATCTTTTGACGCAAACTTTGTATACAGAGGGGAAATCACCCTAAAACATTCAAGAAAATGGATTAGGTCCCATTACTTTTTTTTTTCTAGTTAAAAATAGATCCATTTAATTAATAGCAACGGATTAAAAGTGATAGATCTTGTGCATCCGAGACCAATAAAGGTCTTTATCTAAATGTAGATTTGACAATTCATGTATTCTTATCCTGTGTAATATTGATAATTTATGCATTCGTATTGTATTTTATATGAAAATTACATGTCACAGTTCGTGTTAACACGAAAACATGAAATACGTTTTTTTAATTTTGTTAAATTTATTTATAATTTTTATTAAAATTTTAACCGTATCATTTATGTCTTTTATTCGTATCACTTTTGTGTCGTGTATAAAATTATCATGTCCATACAAATGTGACTGAATCTCAAACCATAACACTTGCACTATTATTAACAGCTTGTTTAGAAACTCATTTGAGTGAATGCTTTCTCTGTTCATCCTTTGCGAACACTTTAACTCATAAATGATGTTGTTTATAGCTGATAAATTTGTTTTTACAGGCAGAAATGGTCAACCAACGACAAGCCTCTCATGGTCAACGAGGCTGAAAATCGCAAAGGGAGCAGCTCGTGGCTTGGCCTATCTTCATGAATGCAGTCCAAGAAAATTTGTACATGGAGACATCAAACCATCCAACATTCTCCTCGACAAGGAATTCCAACCTTACATTTCTGACTTTGGCCTCAACAGACTCATTAGCATAACGGGTAATAATCTCTCTTCATCAGGTGGCTTTATTGGGGGGCTCCCTTACAAATCAATCCGAACGGAACGAACCAACAATTATGGAGCACCAGAGGCTCGAGTCCCTGGCAGCCGCCTAACTCAAAAATGGGATGTCTATTCATTTGGACTCGTCTTACTTGAACTGCTCACTGGGAAGTCTCCTGAGCTGTCACCAACCACATCGACTTCCACGGAAGTCCCAGACCTAGTGAGTTGGGTGAGGAAAGGATTTGAAGAAGAAAACCCATTGTCAGACATGGTGGATCCGATGTTGCTACAAGAAGTGCATGCCAAGAAGGAAGTTTTGGCGGTTTTTCACGTAGCTCTTGCATGCACTGAAGCAGACCCCGAGACTAGACCAAGGATGAAATCTGTTTCGGAGAATCTTGAAAGAATTGGAACATAATTAAGAAGTTTTGATTGTTTTGTCTGTGAAAAGAACACAGTCGATCATTTTTGCCCTGGTAAAATTTGCAAGATTGTTGATATTAAGTATTCATTCCCCTAAAAATCCTCCGGATTAGGCCCAAGAGTTTCCTGAAAATTAAACATTTTGGTGATACATTTTTGTTTAATTAAATACTTAAAAACATTTTCTTGTTTGCAATATACAGGGTAATGGAATGGAATCCATATATTCTTACTTGCTTGGTGCTTGGTATTTATCTAAATTTTGCATTAAAAGTAATTTATAATTCAAAAACATATTAGGTCTATCAAAAAATTATATGTAATTTAGCTAATTAATCGGTAATGTTAGATCTTAATCATTATAAAAATTCCATTCTATCATATGCTTATTCATATAACAGCAAGTTAGTAATACAAACCCACAAATCATGCTCCTCAAGCCTCAATTTTGTTATCAAATGTAGTGTAGATACTCTAAGTTTGAATTAATGGTGTAATCAAGTCGAATTAAATTATTGTCAGATTTAATTTTAAAATTCAAGTCTCAAAATTTGATTCAAGTTTGATTGAATTTAATTTTTCATACTTGAGTTATATCGAATTTGATTCATAATTTATGAGCTTGAGCTATACTCAATAAATTTGATTAAACTCATTAAAACTATAAATATAAATGTTAAATATTATATTTTTATCATTACTTATATATACGAATTAAATATAATAAAATATATTTAAAAATAAATATTCAATTAAATTCATGAATTATCAAAACAAGTATTAAAATATACTCAAATTTGATTCAACTTATTATAAGTAGTTTGAATTCAAGTTCACCTTAATAATAAATAAATCAAATTCAAATACTTATAGAATTAACTTACAAATAATTTGATTCATTTATATTTATAATTTGAACAAATCTAAAATTAGAAATCAAAATTTTTTTATTTACATACGAAGAGCTATATTATATACTACAAAACATAATTTCCTTCAAATATTTTAATTTAATTTTTTTAATATTTAAAAAAGAAATCTAAATAGAAAATATTAATTAAATAATCAAAATAGAAATGAAAAAATTTTCAAGTTTCAGCTATTAGTATGTATATGTCATTGAAAATGATCAAATTTAATTTCAAAGTACAAATTAAAGTATTTTTTTTTAAATCGAGAGTACAAGGTATTGGGGAAAGAAATTACACTTTGAATTCATAAGAGCACGTCAAAGAGTTTACACATAAATATTAGACACCATTTAAACCTAAAAGCTTAAGCTATTAGTTTTTTTATCTTTCATGCATAAATATAAGATATCTCATTCCAAATTTTTAATGATATGTGATACACCACTTGAATCCAAAAACTTAAGCTATTAGATTTTTGATCCTTTATATATATATATATATATATAAGATATCTCATTCAGATTTTTTAATGATATGAGATTTTTTACTCACATGTAAATTATGTCCCAATAATTTTTTAATGATGTGAGATTCTTTATTCACATGTAAATCATATCCCAACAAATCTCTTCTATCCAAACAATATATTCCGTTCACTTGTGAATTCAGATCAAGTCTCATTTCAACTCTCTCATGTGAGAAAATCTTATCAACACTTCTTTTGAGCCAACCAATCTCACATCTTTTGGGCCAGTCAACCTTAAATTTTTAGTATGCGTTTGGGACAGACCACAACATTCAACCTTATATTGTGTGAGTAAATCCTATCAACACTTCTTTTGGGCCAGCCAACCTCACATCTTTTGGGCCAATCAACCTTAAGTCTCTAGTGCGCTTTTGGAACAGATCAAAGCATTCAACCTTATCACCTTAGTTATCTCATTGCTCTCTCAAGCTTACACTTTAGGTTGACTCAACATCTTATCCATTTAGGTATTTCGTTTTTGTATATTATCAAATACTAGCCGCATCAAAGTCAAACTTTTAATATCGGTGTTCGAATATATGAAGTTGATGGATGCGATAAACTTTTGATCTGTTAATAATCTCTTTTAATATCGATGTTTGAGTACATGAAGTTGATGGATGCGATCAACTTTCAATCTGTCAACAATCTCTTTCTATCAACACTATTAGGACTCAAACTGATGACTTCTCGAACCCATGATTTTTATTTTTGATATTATTTGTTAGAGAGATAAATCACACTTAAAAATTTATCAAAGAGCTTATACATACATATTGAACATCACTTTAACCAAAAAATTTAAACTATTAAATTCTTAAGTTTTTCATCCATATATAAAATAAATATTTCATTTCAATTTTTTAATAATATGAGATTATATATTTACATGTAAATCATATCTCATCGTAATGTTTCAAATATTATTTCAAGTAGCGCAGGTTGACACTGTGATTAATTTTTCATAGAATTTTCATTTATATATATATATATATATATATATATATATATATATATAAAAGAAACAAAGAATTTTGATGTGGCGCGTCCCGACTCGTCGGGAGAAGTCATATTTTACCTCCGCCAATTTAACTCCAAGAATCAAACCGCTCTTTCTTCTTTGACAAAAAAAAAAGAAAAAACCGTTATTTCTTGGCTTCTCGGGTTCGGATCCTCACTAGCCGAAAATCCGATCCTCTTTTTCAGCTCTCTAAAAATTCGATTTTGATCCAAACCAAGCCGAATTTTTTTTTTCTCTAGGGTTTCTGAATTGAGAAAATCAATCAATCCAAGACGGATCGTAAAACATGGTAAGAAAAACCTAACTTTTTAATTTTCCAAATTTGAGAAATCGCTTTCTTATTCTTTAATTTTCGAATCAGTGAAAATTAACGTTTTTGATGTCCGATTTCAGTCGGCACTCTTCAATTTCCATTCATTCTTAACGGTAGTGGTATTGGGAATCTGCACCTGCACTTACTTGAAGATGCAATTCCCAGCAATCCTTGAACAAAGAACTGGGTATGCCCTCTCCCTCTCTCTTCGTAATTTGCTTCTCTTTGCTTTATCATTTGTTAGTAAATAGTTCTCATTACTATATTGGCATTTGATTTGAGCTTTCGTTTTTTTTTTTAAATGAAAATTGAACTTTATTTGTTGGCAATTGAATGTTAAATTGTGTGTCTTGGCAGAATGGTTGCTTGTGTCCAACAGTTCAAGTCGTGCAGTTAGTTTCACGGTGTTCGTATAGTTGTTTTAGCTTTGTAATTTGGAATAACTAACTTTGAACTGAAAATTTTTGAGACTGGGGATGTTGGGGCGGTTGCTATTATCACCAAGTGTTTGTGGAACTAGATTTCCCCTTTTGTGTACACCAGCCATTGCACAAAGAAAATAAAATAGAAAGAGAAACAAAGACAGATGATTCCCGTTACTATTTAGATTTTTGCCTTCCCTGGTTTTTGAGCAGTCAAATTTACTTCTTTTTCTAGTATTATTTTACCATTAGCCCTGTTTAAAATCTTTACATATGTCTTGATTTTGATGCAATTTTGCAATTAAATTCAATGTTTTTGGTGGTGGCAAATTTAGTCACATTGATATAATTGTCAGTTTTGCTACTGGTGAAATTAAAGTATAGTTCTCAGTCTTAATAGGGTTTTGGTTATCTTTTTCTTCTTCTTGGATAACTTCAACTTCTTGCTTTCTTTTGCGCTGAAGAGGTAAGATTAATTCAATTTGCATGACTCCAGTTAATCTTGGCATTCTTTGTCCTTTTTTTTGCTATCAAAACTTGTTATTTCATTGTTTCTATTTCCAGCATTTATAGGTGTTAATTCAGTGTTGTAGTTCATTCTTGTTGAGAATGGAGCTAATATGGTATAATATGCTTATTTGACAGGTTTCGTGGTTTCTTTTGGAAGGCAGCCAGAATAGGTGGGTCTTCTTTTCAGCTTGGTTTACTTCTTTCTGGATCATTGGAATATTCATGCTTATATTTTCCCCCTTGCAAATCTTCTTTGGACATATATGTCATCCATTTAATCTTTTGGGGTTGGGGTGATTTGTAATGCACAAATGGGTAACAAGTGGTGGGCTCACCTGGAGAGTTTATTTTCAAGGCAAAGATAAAAAGAATATCAACTTAAAGTTTATCAGCTATAAAGCCTTCAAATTAGTTGATAATAGATACGATAGTTAATTGCCGGAAAACGCATGATGATAATTTCTATGATACCAAAATAAAGCTGGAAAGGAGAATAAAATGAAAAAGATATTTAGATCTATCTTATATTTCAATAAAGGAACTATAGAGCACTTGTGCCTTATTTTAGGTGGTAAATTGATGGGGATTGAAATGGGGCTAAGGTGCAATGGTAATGCTGTAGGTTTAGGTTTAAAATCTCAGAATTGCGAGTTGGAATTTGATGGTCTTGATATTTTGCCTGAAAGGAAATGGACAACAATAATGATGAAATTGAACGGCAGCCATAGCTATGGGGTTTTAGGTCAGGTTATTTTCACATAAGAATAAGTTGTTGATGCTTCATCTATTTTTGCAATCATTGGCATGCTTGGGTGCTGCATTAGCTAGAAGCAACTGAGTTCTTTTCCATGTGTTAGTTCATATGGCAACTGATATGTCATTGACTCTGACGTTACTGCCTGATTTGGTGTGAATGAACAATGAATGTTGTAATAATTGATATCAGATTTTGTTAGATGGAAATCCATAACGAGATACTAGAAATATGTACACGCACCATGTGGGTGGAGGAAAAATAAATTATGTGAAAAAATATATATTTTAGAAGAGAAAAAGAAGTTAAGTATGGGTAGTTTTTTTAAGAAGTTGGTAGTTTTTTAAGTAAAAATTAGTAATTTTTTTGGAAATGTATTATATAAAAACTTGAAAGACATGTTATGTGGGATAAATATTTCATTTTTACCCAATAATTCTTGCCTAAAAACAAAGATGTATTTTCCTTCTCCTGACTTAAAAGTAAAAGTTGCTTCACAAGTGTTTCTTAAAGTAGTATGTGTCCTGGACTCCTTTTTATTTTAAAGTTTGTTTCTTGGAGAAAATTAGGAATATATTTTGGATTCGATCAGTGAATCCATACACAAAAATGATGTGGAACTTTAGTTGAACAATTTTGGAATGTAGATGCGCAAAAAGATCAAAATAAATTAACTTTTGTTACCCTTTTATTAGCAACGCTGTGTAACCTTGGGGACTAACATTTATGTTTCTTGAATCAGGTGAAAGATTAAGTCCCTGGGTGGCTGTTGGATGCTTCACAATGGGTGTTTCAATAATATTTTTCTGAGTGACGAGCGCCATCCAGTTGTTCTGAAGTGGGATCCATTTTTTCCATGTAGACAAATGTTTTTCTTGTCAAAATTTGACATGTTTAAAGGGTTTGTATGATGATAAGAGTTATGATGACACTGTTGCTAGAACTATATACAAACTTATTTGAAATGTATCTGAGCATTCTTTGGCAGATTATTTATTGATTATTTTTCAGTGCGTCTTCTCTGCTATACTACCATACATATGCCTATTACATGCTCGATGCAAAGATGCAGGCCATGGAATTCAGAAGAAGATAAGAAGAGAAAGAAAAGATCAAATTGAAATCAGTGCAGCAGGTTACTTAAAGCGGATAGGAATACAAGCAATGACATAAACAGTGAGTTTATCCTTGAATCTCCTCAAAATCACTACCTTTTCGCCACTCCAATGAAATGCAGATATGATAATCTTCTTGATAGGTTTCTTTCCACTGTTGCTTTCTTTGGTGACAGTCACTGTTTCTTCATTGTTTTCTTCATCATCTTCACCCCAGTGAAGAGGATAGCTCCGCAAAAACGCTCTTCTGTTATTGTAGTCTTCATTGCGAAAGCTCCTAGTTCTCATCCCATCTCCCTCTATCCCTTCGCAATCCATACCTAAGAATATCCTTACTTGGTGCCTGATCCTGAGAATTGTCAGATTAAGCTGGCTCTTATATATATGTAGTTGGTAGAGGGATAAGGCCCGAGTGTGTGAGATGGCCGAAAGGGTGCTGCGTGGCTGACAAGATGACAAGGACATAAAAGTAGGAAGAGATAACCTGAAAATGATGGCAAAATCTTTTTACAGTACTTGGTTTTTTCCAATGTTTCGTAGGAATATATCTTCCATTATAATTTTTAATACGCTTTTGATTTTCTGCGATGCTACTTTGGTGGGTTTTGTTTGTAAATTAGATATTTTTTTAAAAGCAGTATTTGATATATTGTTAGTGAAGTTTTTCTATTCTATAAGCAAATTAGGCATGCCTTACTTTTAAAAAAATTTTTTTTTTTAAACATATCATACACTTTATTAATTCTGCAATTAGAGTTAAAAATTATACTGATAATGCATTTGATAATTTTTTTGAGTGAATTTTTTTTATATTTTTTAATTGATGTTAAGTTAAATATTTAACATAATATTAAAATTTAAATCATGTCCTATTATTCTTGTTCATTATCATTTTAAATTTGTTAATAACTTTTTATCTTCGCATACTCATGAGATTTTGTTGTCAATGTTCCTTCGTAGGAATAATAAAACTTTTCACTTTTATCATATCTATACAAAAAGAATTTATGATTTGCCGTAAAGGGACAGTAGATATCCAAAGCATCCTTCTGTGGAACTTGGATATCTAAGTCAGAGAAGAACACTAAGCAGCAGTTAAGGCACGTTAAGATTTATGAATAGTTTATAGAAAAAGAATAAGACGGAAAATTCTATGAAGTCTTTTGTTTGAAAAAAGAAATTACAAGGGTTATTTTTTTTTTTTAATGAATTTGGATGAATTTTTCAACAATTTTGCAACTGTAGGAGTTTTTTATTAAATTATTATATGCACCCATTGACACTTGGGCTTGTTTTGCTAAATCTTTGTTTAATGTGGCATAGCACCCTAATAAAAGGCCCAACTCATCCATCAGTTCAGGGCCCAAGAGTGAAAAAGGGCGACCTCTCAGTCCTCGGTCCTTCGCCATTCCACCGCCCTTGAATTTTCAGTTTAAAAAAAGACTCCATATGGACTTGTAGAGTGAAAACTTTCAGGCTCCATCGCTCCATTTCTTTGTCGATCAACGCAAGAAAAAACACTACTCTACTTAATCACTAGAATCTCTCCGCCTTTAATCTGGGAATGACCGGAGGCGGTCGACGAAGCGCTCGAAGCAGAGGTAAAACCTCCACCAATGTCAACGAAGATGAAGATAAAGATGCTCTCCACAAAACTAAACCAAACTCCAAGCTCCGCCGAGTTAAAACTCAAGATCACGGCAACGCGCTTCGAATCCTTAACGCTAATCTTAAAGCCATGCTAAGTTTCGGCATCGTCGCTACCTTGATAATCTTCTTCTTATTGAATCATCTCATTAGTCCAGCTGAAGACGCTCGGAGACCTAGAGTTGTCACTCCATTTCCCGCTCCCAAAATCATGGACTTACCTCAGGTACTCGGAAAGTAAATCACTATCCAGTTTTTTTTTTCTTTCTTTTTTAAAATAGAAGTTTTAATATAAATGTAAGCATATATTGAGTATTTGTTTTTTATACGTATATGTACGTATTTGGTAATGGAGGATTCGATTTGTGACAGTTTCAAGGCGAGCATAAGGAGAGCTTATACTGGGGAACTTATCGTCCTAATGTTTATTTTGGAATTCGTGCTAGGTACTATCATATTTTGCATTCCTTAAAACTTGATAAGTTATGCTTTATAAATTTGAATAGAGGATATGAAAATCAAGTGGATAATTATATGGTAATTATTTTGCTTTAAAATGATTGTAATTGGTGGGTGTTGATTGGCAATTGTAACTGGTAGGACTCCTCGGTCTTTAATTGCTGGGCTAATGTGGATTGGTATAAAGGATGGGAGGTATTTCGTGCGACACGTGTGCCAAGATTCTGATGGACTGAGCACATATGGTTGGACACGTCATAATGGACGTGATTTTGGACATCAACTTCTGGTTGACCAAGATATGACTTTAGCAACAAGTTTCTTGAAATCAAAGATGGATGGCAGCGGCTATGGCGGAGATTGGGCAGTTAGAATTGATGTGCAAAGTCAAGGGTATGTTGCTTGATCTGTTATTTTAAGCGTTTATGTTGTTAATTGCATATGTTCAACTTGGTGGTTTTATTTAATTACTTTTAGAAGATTTATTGCTAAGAGAAACATCTTTCCTTAGTAAGAATGCCACTGACAAACCTGATTGAGATATGAAGGACCTTTTGGGACTGCGTTGTCTGACTGGCACTTTGTATGAGCTGACTTGATCATTTGGGCAGTCCATGGTAAACTAAGAACATATGTTTTATGTTTGATATATTTGAATTTATTTTATTGTTATCAGTAGGCGATTCCTCATGCAGACATGTGCAATTTTCTTGGAGAAATTTTGGTTATTAGATATTGTGTGGCTATTAGAAATAAGATAAAGGGCAGCCAGAGGAGAATGCTGAAGCTGATTTTTGACTGCCCAAGAAAAATATTAAATAAAAGAAGAAATATACATTTGTAAATGTATTAAACTGATAATGAAGCATGTGGCTTAAAATTTTTTGTGGTTTGCAATTTTCAATTTTAGGTCTAGAATTCTTTAGGTAAATTAATGCATCGAAGTATATATTTGCCCATATAGCTTGCCCTACTCTTGAAGAATGAGGCTTATGATCACCATTTCGTGAGGTTAATGGAAGACCTGACCAATTATAACTAGTAGAAACATTTCTCCCTCTCTACATTCTCCCTTGCATTCCTACTTACGTGTTTATTTTCAAGCTAGAATGACAAGGTGTGCTGAAAATGTCTACAGTACATATTTACTTCCATGCAGAACACAATGATTTTGAGAGCATTCTTGGTTCACTATTCAAATTTCTTGTCCAATCATTTTTATCATGTTCAATTTTACATATCTAGGTGGAATGACGAGATGAAGAAAAATGTGCAACTTTTTTTCTATTTGGCTGATGAAGATGGAAATTCTCTAAGTTTAGGTAGAGATATCTTGGACATTCACAGGAATTCTCTCCTGGCATCAGGGTTGCGAACGGACATTGGAGGTTGGCAGCTACATCTAAAATCAAAGGTAAATTGGTAATTGAATGACAGAGTTCTATTTGATTGAAAATTTTGTTCTAATGAATGTATATTAGTTCATATAGTAGGAATTCCTCTTGGCCTACTTGCCATTTGTGCTACCAAAGCAACTCAGAGTCATGTTTTTGCTGGTTAGCATTTAGGAAAGTGACTGGCCTAAATTTCTCATCATTATAATTTGTCTTCTGTTGCTTCAAAATCATACTTCTTACCAATTTTTTTTCTTAGTTATGTTACAATTTTTTTTGGCACAAGGGAGGCTGCAACCTATGGATAGGGGGAAGGGGTTGTAGGTGCTAGAATTTGAATACCAGACCTGCTTATTGCCACCTCTTAAAGGGGCTACATGAACCAATTGGGCTGAGCCCCAGGTTCAGTTATATTACAAATTTGAGTACTGTGGATACAAACAAAAAAGACCTGAATTATATTAGCTAATTAATTTGTCTTCTCTGGTTGAATGTCAACATGAAAATAGCTTATACCTTCTATGCTCCTATAATATTTTTTGAAATAGTTAATTTATTAATCACGTTTCCTGCTAAACCTGTCTCCAATTGCTTGTAATGGTTCAATATTTGGATTGTGCTCAATAAAAATACTGGACTTCAATGAACTTTTGTTTTCCATAGTTTTTTACTTGGTAGTTGATGCTGATATGGAGCCAACTTTCTTATGTTTTCTTTTGTAGGCTGATTTGGAAGTACATTATTCTGGTTTCAGGACACCTCATATCCACAATTTGTCTGATCTTGTCCGGGAAACCCTTGCATCCCAAGTGTGTTAGAATTTCATATGAATCCTACATTTTCTTCAGTTGTTGGAGAATTGGACAAAATATTGTTTTGGTTTTTAACGGTTCTTTTTGTAACTTCTCTTGTTTTTTTATCTCTTACCAGTTAATGAGATTTAGTCGGCTGCAGCTACCTGATATCATTGAGAGTTCTTCAAACATCTTAGTTTTTCAGGTATCTTATGTAAACACAAATGGGTACTACTTGTCTGGAAACATTTTACATTCTTGAAGTTAACTTTGGTTTGTCTTTCTTGTCTACCTCGGTTTTCAATTGCTGTTCAGATTTCTGGGAGGATCCCACTGGAAACAGATATTGTCTTTGTATCTGGAACTGGTATAAATTCAACAGGAGAAGAACGCATGAGCAATCTTGCAGGTTTCTTTTATACCCATAATATAATTATTGTTAATTTAAGAAATTTGAACAGTATATAGGGTTTTTTTTCTTACACATAAGCAATCTTCATACTTTGTTATCTTTTATATTAACATTTTGGATTTAAAATTTTTGGATCTGTTTTTCAGGTTCAAGTTTCTTTTGGAACTTGATTCTATAATATTGTTTGCTGCTTAGATTTTTTTTAATTTTCTATTAAAATATTTTTGTTCTGGGCCTTTCCTGACTTTGCAGGAAGTTATCTGATTACAAGGTTCTTGTAATTTTCAGTTATAATCTTTTTCCTGTGCTGTACTAATTTAGGTATGTCATTGACCAATCAACTAAAAGAGAAACGAGGAGAATTTGATGCCAAATTTGAGAATTGCTTTCGGCTTGTGGACAAGGTATTGATTTTTTTTAAATAACTTCATTCTTCTGCATGTTTTTTGGTTCTTCACATTTTATTACTTATTTTTTGATCTCTACACAACTCTCTTTCCTAAATTGTCTTGCTGCCACTTTGATATCCCTTCTATTCGTTCTAGGTCATGTAGGAGAAGAAATAAAATTGCTTTTTTTTTTTTTCATGTATTGTTTTATCAATGTCTGGAGTTGTTTAGAATCTTTATCCTTGACTGAAGCTGCTTTAAATTTAAGTTATTGAATCATCTACTGCGTTGTTTTTTGAGTATGTTGTTGAATAAAGAGACTCATTGTCTCATGTCAGGTATTTCTGATGCTAACTTCCCCCATGCTTTATAGAAATGACATTGTTCTGCCTTATGTATCAATCCTGATAGTTTACTTGGGAAAGGAATTTTGTCTAGTTACATAGCTTTTGGGCAATTATTTTCAAACTCAACAGACTGAACTATCATATCCTCCCTTTTTTAGGATAAGTTTGATTGACACAGTGTCGTGATTTATTGTTTTGGCAATTAAGAGTTCACTAATACATTAGAAAGATGCCCTCTCCTT